GCCATTGATCGTTTCGATCACAATCATTCGGACTTCTAGCTTTTATGTTTGCCACGTCGGATACCCAGTGATCCCATCCCGAGGTACGAGTCTGTCTTCGCTTTGCAATCCGGGCTGTCTTTCCATCATCCCTTTGACTATGAACCATTGCTCTGAACATTGCTTTTTAATTAGTAGATGTGTTTTTCCATCACCGCTTTGGCTACGAAATCCATGCCACAGTTTTCTTGACCTGCCCCCCTAAGCTATAGAACTAAATGGCTCCTCTTCAACCCATACGACCCCCCGAATGTCTTGTAGATTCATCCGTACAAAATTCGCCCTGGCAGAGGCGTTAGAACGCAAACAACCGTCTGTTGTGTCTCCTGAGTACGTATGGGGTAGCCGCAGCCTCAACGCCTGTTACGAAGCTGTCTTCCACCTTTACCGTGGCTTCATTGGATCCCCTCACTTCGCCTCTGTTTGCCGCCTTTTGGGCTATCAAGGCATCTTTATAATCTTCACAGAAATCCTGAAAGTATGCAAGTCGCTGGTGAGTTCCGCGGGCACTTTTATACTTTATCCCCCCCCTAATCCCCAAAAAGAGATTTTTGGCCAAACTAGTCCATCGTTATATGCACTACTTCTTGTCTCTATTGACGATAATGATTTAACGCCCGTAACCACCTCTACCGGTTTGCTTCATGTTTTAGCTGTCAGGTACTACAAAGTTGTCGTCTCCCACTCGTTTCGGGAGATATGGCTTTAGGAGGTCAGGTTTTATTACGTTCACTACGCCAAAAATCCCACCAGGATAGTAGTGATAGTAGCCTGTTCCACGTTTCCGCCCGAATTTAGTGCTACAGGTCTTCGGCAAGACTGAAAGAGTGCCCCCTGTGGTAGGGGTATGGTAGATTTATCAGAGCTCCCTACAACCACATTTAAGGGGCGGCTTATTCAAACAGCCCTGAAAAGTAAACATTACCTTGCCATACAAGAAACCTGTGGATAGCGTACGTAATTTACTGAGGCGGAGGCATTTTTTTCTGCCATCCGCTTCCGTGCACTAGACGATTAGAATGAGCCGAGCGCCTTTGCTCCTAATATCCTATGATTTTTAGGCACTGTAATAAAGTTTAACTAGTGGGCTAGTGTCGACGCATAGGTAAGAGCGTCTTTAAGCTAGACGGCACCCAGTGCTCTAGGATTGTTCCCCACCAGCTTGAACTTCTGACATGATAAAACGCGTCATTTTTACCCTCAATCAACTATCTTTATTTCCTGATTGGCGGTATCCGCTTTATAAACAAGTTTTTATATGCTAAAATCACTCTGTGAATTTGCTCGCAATTTC